TCTTCCGATGTCTGAGTAACTGAAACTAATAATGTTCGGAAACGAAGAAAGAGGCGGTAACGGAAGCTTGGCGCGTGAGAGAGGATTGAGCACCACGATCTCCGGTCTCTCGTCGAGGAGGATCAACCAACCATGGGAGGAGCCACAGTGGCGCTTCTGGTGAGAAGCTTCGGGGAGGTTCAAGAGGTGAACCGTGTTGGTAGAGAGATCGAAGAAGGCGCATGAGGATGCACGCGAGGCCGTCTGCGAGTGGGGGAGCATAAGCCACGGGAGCTGAGGAGGAAGGTGCGACGGAGGAGTGGAGGAAGCGACGGCGGAGCGCCACACGCGGCAGACGGCGAGGAAGCGGAGTAGTCTCCGTAGATCGGAAGCTTCTCGGCGATCGATTGGACGAGCTCCGGCGGAAGCTGCGTCCAGTCAACGCTCATCTTTGCAATTATCGGATCGGTGGAAGATTTCATTTTTTTTTTGGCATTGGAGAAATATGTATTGTAGCGGATAAGAGCTCGATGCTTGGTGATCTTGACACGTGTCAGTAGAAGACAGTTTATATCCGGCAACAGGGCAAATGAATGGGGAAAATTGCAGAAATAACATCAAATGTCGTTTCTTACTTCAAGGGATGACCTTCTAGGTTTAGGGTTTTTTAAAAAAAAACTAAAACAACGAAAAGACTAGTTTACCCTTAAAAAATTGAATACGTGGCAACCTTCTATCTATATAGTGAAAAAAACTTCGAAAATTTCTTCTCTCACTTTTTCTAAAAATTCAAAACGTAAATTTTTTTTTCTTTTTCTCTCCAAAGATATTTCTTGGCGATTCTAACAAAAAATTTCTTAATTTTTGTCTTACACTCGACATATTTCTCTACTATGACAAGATCCGACGTTCCAAAGTTGAAGAATTTGAGAATGCATGGAAAGTGTTCGATAAAAATCCTCAGAGAAAATTTAGCTCTTAACACGTCATACTAGTCATATCGGTCAGACTTTGGTCATACCGATCAGATTTTGGTCAGAGGTCACAATTTGGTTAGCCGGTCACACTTTGGGTGAAGATAACTTATGTTAAGAGATTTTTTTTATACATGGAATTAGATCACCAAAACGATAAAAAATATATTCTTATAACTCTTATACAACTTTTTGAATCGTTTAAAGTTAATTTAGACCTTTACTTTTCGTGTGAAAAATAGTCATACCGGTCACACTTTGATAAGACGGTCAGACATTGGTCATACAATCAGAATTTGGTCAGACAGTCAAACTTATTGAAAATTGATGAATTTATCATTTTAAAAAAGTGTTAATATGGTATAATAATAATCTCATATAACAAATCGGTCAGACGGTCAAACTTTGGTCAAACCGATGATACTTTAGTGAGACAATCAGACGGTCAACCTTTGGTCATACCGATCATATCATCAGTCTGGTCATAAGGTTATACTGGTCAGACTAGTCATACTTTTTCAAAAATGATGAATTTACGAATTTAAAAGTGTTGATCAAACATATTCTTCTTATATAGAATTTTAGCTTATTAGGGTTTCACTTCGATTCGATTCGAAGGAACAATATCATTTAAGCTTACACTCGTCAAATTTTTCCTTTATAACGAGATATGGCACACCAAAGTTGAAGATTTTGAGAATGTATGGAAAGTGTTTGATGAAAATCCTGAGAGAAATTTTGGCTACCGAAATACCACACCGGTCAAACCGATCCGATTTTGCTCATGGTTTCAAGAACAATGATATCATCAATAATGTAACTCCTTCCAAATAAGTCCTAAAGTAATAGTAGTGTTTGTATAATACATTAGATACAATTGACTTATGTTGGAAGATTTTTTTTTACACATGAAATTAGAACTCCAAAATGATGCAAAATTATTTTTAGAACCCCTATACAACTTTTCAAATCGTTTAAATTTAATTTAAACCTTTCTTTTTCGTACCCAAATGGTCAGACGGTCATACGGTCAGACGGTCATACCATAGTCAGACGGTCAGACTTGTTCGAAATTGCATAATTCATCGTTTTAAAAATGTTAACATAGTGATAATTATATCATATCACAAATTGTTTAAGTTCAAACTCGGTCGTAACAATATGGATTGACCACATTTTTTGTTTGACAATAGAATTCCTTCCAAAGAAGAACTAAAGTACTAGTAGTGTTTGTGTAATACATAGGATACAATTGACTTATGTTGGAAGATATTTTTTTTACACATGAAATTAGAACTCCAAAACGATGCATTAGTATTTTTATAACCCCTATACAACTTTTCAAATCGTTTAAATTTAATTTAGACCTTTCTTTTTCGTACCCAAATGGTCAGATGGTCATACAATCAGACGGTCATACCTTGGTCAGACGGTCAGACTTGTTCGAAATTGTATAATTCATCGTTTTAAAAGTATTAACATAGTAATAATCATATCATATCACAAATTTTTCAGGTTCAAATCTGTCGTAGCAATATGGATTGACCACATTTTTTGTTTGACAATGTAACTCATTCCAAAGAAGAACTAAAGTACTAGTAGTGTTTGTGTAATACATAGGATACAATTGACTTATGTTGGAAGATTGATTATGACCAGCGTTACCAATTTTGTGAGAATAATCATTTTGACCAATTTGACAAGTATGACCAGTTAGAAGTACGACCAATTTGACCATTCTGACACATATGTATGACCAGTTTTCCGAATTCTTCCATTTTGATGAATTTCACATATTTAACGATTTCGATCAGTTATAATAACTTGAATCATGGTATTGTTGATGAAATGCTCAAACTTAATATTGTTTTTTCACAACAAATTTAATAACGTATTTTAGAAACAATATTTACCTATTATTTAGATTTGTATTTAATCGATAAAATGCTCAAACTTAATATTGTCTTTTCACAATAAATTAGCTGAAAAATAGATTGGAAGTAAAGAGTGTTGGAAGATTATAGAATGGATAAGAAGAGAGACTGTAGTTTATTCCACATATGCGAATGGAGAGAGAGAGGTGGAAGAGGAGAGAGAGAGAGTTGAAATATTTTTTAAAATTAAAATATTAAATAAAAAAGGAAGGGTATTTTTGGAAGGATACAATTATAAGGTTATGAGATGATGTTAATTTTTTTAAAAAAAGAAGGGAGGTCATGCCATGAAGTAAAAATGACATTTAAAATCATTTTTGTAATTCCCCCAAATGAATGAAACGACGCCCATCGTGGTGCGGTTCTAATGGTTGCGGCCATATATTTGAATTTGGTTCAGTTATTTTTTTTATTCTTTTCTTGGAAATTATATATTTTGTTGTTATATCAGTTTAGATTTTTATTTGGATTTAATTTAAACTCGATTTTTATTGGTAAAAAAAAAAAATTCCATTATTTTTCTATCAAGTTAAAATTCAATTAGAATCGAATATAATTATATATAATTCAATTCAACAATTAGATTTTGCATAACAAAATTGAAAAGACTTTTAATACCCGAATGACATCTAACGAAAACCGAAATAAACTTTGCCCAAACTAAACAACCTAAACTGAACCTAAAATTCTTTAAACTAATTTTATAAATTTTAATCAAGTTGAACAAAAATAAACCAAATCTAAATAAAATTATAATTTTATTTTCATTTCCATCTATGTTTATTTCTTTAATGTAAATAGGAACCTCTTTATTAAATCAATAAACTACTCATTTATTACATAAGCTAAGCTAGCATTCAACATCTTGAATTTTCGAGGAGACGGAAAGATAGACGATCAGGGGTAGTTAATATTACAATTTAAAGAATATATAATATATATATTTTTTCCAAATTACTGATCCACATTTATTCAACAACGAACCCCATAACTTTGCTTAACAAATTACACTCAAAGAAGAGATGAAGACGACCATGGAAACATTTCGAGAAAAAACAATGTCGTACACTATAAAACACAAGATCTCCAAGTAGGGCGGAAAAATGGCAGCATCTAAAAGCTCAAACCATGTCCAAAATTCCATAATCTTCAAAACTTTCAAAACCAGAAAACAACATTACAGAGAACTGAGAAGTCCTGCAAGAGAGAAGGAGAAGAAGATGATGATGATAGAGCGACAAACCTGTAAAAGAAGAGGATAAGCGACTCGTGAGGTGAATTAGCGGTAGCGGCGAAGGGAGAGAGTGTTGTTTCGCTTCCAAGTCGCCCTCCGTGAGGGACGGTTCTTGTGGAAGAGATGACCCTTTCCCCGGAGTCCTCTGTTCTTCTTTCCCTCCGAAGTAAGGCCACGGAGCTCGCGGTGTTTGTGAACGGGGTTGCAGATCCAGTTGATTCTCGGGTCATTACGAACTGCCTTGTGAGCCGGGTCAACCAGGATTACCTCGTAATACTTGTACGTCGAATCCTGTTTAAGGTTTCGTTGAAATCAAAAAACGCATTTTCTCAGTGTCTAGTGACGAAGATACAAAGTATCCACTTTGATTACGCTCAAAGAAACAAAACCCAGAAGAGTTCGAATGTTCTCCTTTTTCTTATATCATATCCAACATTGTAATGATGAAGATTTGTCCAAAATCATACCGCCTTCCTTTCCTTAACTTTTTTCAGGGTAGCAAAAGATAGAGGATTCCAAAACAAAGCATATACCTCGTTGATCCAATAAGAGTTAAGAACTCTCAGACCGCCCAACTTTCGGCCAGCACGCTCCTCGGCAACAGATCTCTTACTACGCTGGAACTTAAGTTGGGTAACACCCTGATTCGTGGGCTTGCCGTACACAATACCCTTGGGAACTGGCCTCTTCCGTCCACCACGTTTCACACGAATCCGATAGACCACAAAACCCTAATACAATTTTCAAAACAGTAAAAAACACATGATTTGTGTACAACCGAAAACAAATGGAAGTTATGAGAAAACTGCGCCAATAAGAATGATAGCTAGGACCAGACAGAATCTGACTGGTCATGAGAAGCATTCAATCACTAATCGTACAATCTTCGGGTGACGGAGAGGCGAGTATCGATGAACCATATAACCAAACTCTACCATGTATTTATTTTGCCTAAAAAACGATCTAATAGAAACCGAGAAAGAGAATCTAATTACTAGATTTATCTAACAAAGTTGATAAATGTACAACAATCTTTAAGAATAGCAACTTTTGAATCAAAGAATCACAGGTCTGTCCATCTATTCTGGCAACAAACAACACAGAGGATGATCATATAATGTTAAACTGTTGAATCCATGATCCATCACAAGCAAGAAGCATCAATTAGAAATAAAACCACCAAATCCAAGAATGATAACACCCACAAGGAAAAAACATCATCTGTGTGACAGGAAGGAAACGTGAAATTCTTTCGAAATAAGCACATATAACTTCATACGAAATCCGCAGAAATGTATACAAATACAGCCCAGATGATACAGAGTGAAGATATCGAAATTCCCATTTCAGACTACAGAACAATGAGAAACCAAGTTCCAAAAAAACGTCAGTTCAATGACACTATTCAAATTCAATGACGCCAATAAGAACAACGAATCAACAAGCTTCCAAGCACAAGGGATGGAGACATGAAAACAAACCTGCTTGGCTTTGTATCCCAATCGACGTGCCTTGTCAGGACGAGTAGGTCGCGTGACACGGACAATGGAAGGTTGCTGTCTGTATTCCCAACACCTGACGCGCTGGAGAAACCTCATGACATCGGACTGTTTCTTCCTCCATAGCTCCGACACGTACTTGTAAGCCCCTGAGGTTCGCCAAAAACTCCATCAAATTACAAATTCAAAACGGGATCCAATAAAACATCGTATCCATTTGCAAGGAAATCCAGATCGATCTGGATCACGCAAAATGAGATCAAAGTGATCATCACTTACCCATTTTCCGAGTCCCAGAGAGCGCCGCCGCAGCAACCAGGGGTTTTCGTTTTTCCAAGCAACCAGAAACGACGTCGTTTCATTTCAATTTACTTAATAAAGTCAATTTGCAAACTTGGATAAAAAAACATACGAATTTGTCCCTATTTTTTAAAACGCAAACTGTAAATTTACAGATTTTTTTCAAATTTATTTTCGGACGTCTGATAATCTGTGTTCCATGCTGGATTAATTATGTGGCTTTCTATCAATTTGACCCCGTCTTCCCGTAACATTTTTAAAATTATCCACATCACGAAAAATAAAAAATAGAAAAATAAATAAGAATATACATATACACATCCATATGATTTGATATTATCTAGTTGTAATCAAAATATAATTATACGTTTATTCAATTTAATTTGGTTTACAAATATAAAATGATTGTGAGGTGCAATTATTTAGTCTATAAAGACAATGGTGGTGACGAAGAGAATATTTAGATGGTAGGGTCATCAAATTATGATTCGGAACCTTAATTAGTTATCACCATTATTATTATTCTGGCAGCTCAACGTTTACCCTTATAATAATTGCATCTCCCCTTTTCTTCTGCCGCATATACTTTTCCTTCTTTTTTTTTTTTCTGTTTTCGTGTGATAAAAATTAATAAAGGGAAAGAAAACACTTGTTCTAATAAAATCTAAAAATAATAAAAGGACAGAATTATGTGTAATCAGTGTCATGTTCTACATTACATTTGATATTCAGTAAGATTATTATGAGCAGATTGACACCATTTTTGTATTAAAAAAAATATTTAATTTACACTGTCTTTTCTTTTCTTTTCCTTGTTTTTTACTGTTCTGTCTTTTTTCATGGCCCCTCCCCAAGTTCTCCAATACTCACAAATGGTAATAAAAACAAAATTGTCACAAAGAGAGAAACCGTTTGGGGCAAAATGAACGATCGCAAGTGGGTCCCACAGTATGTCCCATATCATGGGAGCCAACCAGTCATAGCCTAGCCATCCGTTCCGGTTTCATTCGAGTGGCAATTACGTAATTCTAATGAGATCCAAGCCTACTCTCATAACTGTTTCGAGATTATGATTAACACTCTCCATGTGATGCCTCCACGAGTCTCTTTTTCTTTTTTCATCAAACGCCGTGTCGGCACGCAAAAAAAAAAGAGAGGAACTCACCTCCGTCACCGTTACCGTTACGTTAGAGATATCTCATATCGGCACCGGTGAAGATGAGGAAGGAGGCGACGCCGCCGGTCTCCACCTCCTCCTCCGCCGTCGGAAGATTCCTCGTCTGCTTCGAGACGAAGCCGTTGATTGCTGCATTGCTCGCTCTCACTCTCGTCATGCTCGTTTGGAACCTCCCTCCTTACTACTCCAGCCTCATCTCCACTGCTCGTCCCTGCTCTGCCGCCATGGCCACGGTGAGGGAGACGGTGGCACCGGTGAATTTGAACGGCTCTTACTCGCAGAAGTACTACTCCGTCTCTGTGAAGCCTTCAGATCCGAACAAGCGCATCTTCCAACCGTTCGGGAACGCCGCGGCGCTGTTCGTCATGATGGGAGCTTACCGCGGCGGTCCGGCGACGTTTGCGGTGGTTGGACTTGCGTCGAAGCCGATCCATGTGTTTGGGAAGCCGTGGTTCAAGTGCGAGTGGATTTCGAACAATGGATCGTCAGTTCGAGCTAAAGCGTACAAGATTCTCCCGGACTGGGGCTATGGCCGCGTCTACACCGTCGTCGTCGTCAATTGCACATTCGCGACGAACCCTAACGCCGGAAACTCGGGCGGTAAGCTCTTGATCAACGCCTACTACGACGAATCCCCGAGGAAGTTCGAGCGATTCACGGCGCTTGAAGAACTCCCCGGATCATACAACGAATCCAGATTCTCTCCGCCGTATCCGTACGAATACCTCTACTGTGGCTCGCCGCCGTATGGAAACCTGAGCGCGGCACGTATGCGGGAGTGGATTGCTTATCACGCGTGGTTCTTCGGCGAGAGGTCGCATTTCGTCTTCCACGATGCCGGAGGAGTGACGCCGGAGGTTATGGCAGTTCTGGATCCGTGGGTACGAGCGGGGAGGGCCACGGTTCAAGACATACGCGACCAAGTAGATTACGATGGCTACTACTATAACCAGTTCCTGATCGTGAACGATTGCTTGCATCGGTATCGACACGCCGCGAATTGGACGTTCTTCTTCGACGTCGATGAGTACATTTACTTGCCCAATGGCAACACACTCGAATCGATTCTCGCCGAATTCTCTGACAACACTCAGTTCACCATTGAACAGAACCCCATGTCTAGTGTTCTTTGCTTGAACGATTCAACTCAAGATTATGCTGGGTAAGCCTCGATATACCTCTAAAAGACTTTAACGTTTCAAATGGAATCAGGAAATCTGGTGTGCTACATTGTTAAATTCTGACATGGAATTGGTGGGTAACCAGATTTTAGTGATAGAATCTTGGAATATTGTTAGATTTCACCTGGGTGATGGCTGAATTTCGATAAGGATTCTGTTGTCTGCAACTGCAATGATGATACCTGTTTGATTATGTGGGTCGTGGGAGGAGTTCATGTTCCGAGCATTTTCATCTAGATTGTACTTGTTATAAATGGAGAACAGTTCATTTAAAGACAGAACTCAATGCTCCTTCTTAGGATCGAATTTAGGCAATAATAAGCTTCACCCTTGCTAATTTCTTAGCCAGCTTGTTGGACCAAGAAAAGGGAAGAACTTTATGACCCTAACAACAGCCTATGAGTGATCTCATATTGATTGCTTACTGGGTATTGCTCTCTCTGGTTTTGTTTCGTGGGCGATTTCAGGCAATGGGGATTTGAGAAGCTGGTATTCAGGGAATCAAGAACGGGGATTCGCCGTGACAGGAAATACGCGATCCAGGCCAGGAACACATACGCCACAGGCGTTCACATGTCTGAAAACGCCATCGGCAAGACGCTACACAGGACGGAGACAAAGATCCGTTACTACCACTACCACAACACCATAACCTTCCACGAGGAACTCTGCAGGGAGCTACTGCCCGCGTCAGCCAAGAAGAAGGTGACATTGTACAACAAGCTCCCTTACAACTACGATGACAACATGAATAAGCTCGTGAAGACCGTCAAAGAGTTCGAGCAGAGAACCCTCGGGACAAACCAGAAAGCAAAGAATTTCTCGTGACGACGACGATACCCGGGTTTTTGTCTATATAAAGGTATAGATGTTTCTTTTACTTGCCTCATTGATCCCCTTTCTATTTCATTAATAACATTTGACAAGGAAAAAAAAAATCATTGATATGTGTTCTCTGCTGAGCTTACCGTTAGGCAGCAATTTTGTTCACTATATACGTCCATTGGGGCCGTCTTATTGGGTTTGTTTTTCCTCTTCTGTCTTCAGTTGGATAAATTGGCATGATAATGAAGTGATGTAAGTGATCCTCTAATTGTTTTGGAATCATTTGTGTTAGGATACAAATCCTAAATGGTATTTTTGTAATTATTATGAAGAAGATGGGGTGTTATCTGTTTCGTGGAACTCAGGTGTCTGTTAATTTGGGTTCATTTGCATGAAATATAAAAATGCTATAACAGACCACTCAAGGTTAGGATATCAGATGTAATGTCAAAATGGGTTGCGTTATGCCGGTTGACCCGACCAACCCAATTATTGATCAAAATAGATTAATCCTTTTAATCTACTGTATTATTAATATTTAAACCTATTATATATGTATCTAAAATTATGATATATAGATATATATAAATACTAACATACGTATATATATAATTAATTATATGTACACGGACTAAAAAATCGAACGTTGCCATTTTTAATCGAACCAAAATATTTGGTATCGTTTTCGAACTGAACCGAAAAATTCGTTACCATTTTCGAACCGAACCAAAATATTATTTGCGAATCGAACTGAAAATCAATATCGTTTCCGGATCGAACCAAAAAACTCATCGTTTCTGAACCGAAATATCATTTTTGAATCGAACCGTAAAGATCGATATCGTTTCCGAACCGAATCAAAATATCGTTTCGAACCGAACCGAAAAAATCGATATCGTTGCCGAATCGAATCGAAATATCGTTTTCGAACCGAATCGAAAAAATTAATATCATTTTCGAATCGAACAGAAAAACTCATTATTGTCTCCGAACCGAACCGAAATATCATTTTCGAATCGAATCGAAAAGAACGATATCGTTTTCAAACCGAACCGAACCAAAAAAAATTGATATCGTTTACAAATTGAACCAAACCGAAAGAATCGATATCGTTTCTTAATCGAGCCGAAAATATGGTTTTTAGAAAACAATAAATAATTTTGGTGCGTGAATGAATATTGTTTGCATTGCATGAAACCGATAGATAGTCCATAAGATGCATACATTATCTCATCAAATAGAAATATGTTATTAATAAATGTTAAAATAAATGAATTAATTGGATTTAAGTGGGTTAATTGGGTTAACCCAACCCATTTGGTTTAGACAATATTTTTAATAGTTTGGTTTAATCTAACCCATTAATTTTAAAACCTAAATGGGTTGGTTAACCCATTTAGACAACTCTACTCACGTGTCTTCATTTTCGTCAAGGTTTTGCCATTTTCATCACTTTTTGGCCATGTCATATTATTTTTTTGGCAAAATGTATAACAACTAAAACATAGAGTTCCAACTTGGACGGATCCGACACAAAGTTTCGCCGGTCGAATTACGGTCATATAATATTTATTTAGTAAAGGGATCAATATATAAACTAAAATTAATGTCAATCATCACCTCTGGCCCCTTGTGAGGCCTCCAACGTAATCATTTTAGAAATTTATATGAATAATCAGATTTCTGTCCATATAAAACCATTAGATTCTTTTGGAGACTGAATTATTTATAGATGTTTGAATATTAATGTGTTATTTTATAGCTCTAAATTATCATATGACATATCCTTGTGTGAAACAAACCTATATTTATAGCCAAGTCTTCTTTTTTTCATCATTCTTGATATGTCGAACCAAGCTTAATAATATATTATTATACTTATTTTAAAATTATTTGGATATGATTTTTTGGCCAAATGAACTATATCTAATTTGAAAATAATTGAGAGAAAAAAACGAAAGGGGTTTCTTCTAAAAATGAAATCTTCTAAAATTCATTTACTCAAGAATTACTCGTCTTTAATTTTCTAAAAATATCCAATTAAAACTTTAATTATATATTAAGTCAAATAAACATTCATCTCTTGCAATTACATAAAAATTGTTTATTATTTTATCTATTTTAAATCCCAGTTTAAAAAGTATTTTTTTATAATTAAATAAAAAGTATAGATATTCTGGATATTTCTTATAAAGTTTGAGATTCAATTGGGTTTGTGCATAGTTGTAATTTTAATTGGGTATTATTTAATTAAATACTTTTGAATTGTTTTGTAAAGATTAAATAAATAGGGGTTGTTGAGTACGAAAGAACATAGATTAGGGGTCATTTTGTCAATTTGTGTTTTTATGGGAATTTTCTAAAACGATACATAAAAGTGCCCTCGGTGGATTACCGAAGAACCGCCTCATGGAGGAATGATAATAAGACTCATACCCTTTCGTTTTCGGCGTATTATTAAATTCCTCCTCCTCTCTGCAACCCCACAGGAGTACGCCGATTCTCCATCTTCTCTGGTGCTCGCTCTCTCTGGGCTCTTGTTGTCCTGATTCGCAGAAGCTCCAATATCTCCGTTAATGGCGAATGCCTCAGTTTTTGCTTTTTTTGGTGTTTTTTGTTGCTCATTGCTACAACCCATCTCGTGTTTTTTTGTTTATTTCAGGACACGCGCAGTCACAACCCGCAGTGATTTTATTGCCGTCTCCGATCAAGACACGACGATGGTAGTTCTGCGCTTCTCCGGCTTCAGTCTCATCGCAGCGATATTCGTTCATTTATCCCCTTTTTCGTTTTTGAGTTGTGATGTAATTGATTTGGATTAATGGGTTGCTTTCGAAATTCTCTGAGCCGGTGGGGTTTCTTCAGGTGAGTCCGGTAGCGAGAATGGAGAACGATGACGTCACGGGTCCGCCATGGCTGGTGCCGATGCTCCGAGCTAAGTACTTCGTCCCTTGCTCTGTTCACCCCGATTCGAGCAGGAGCGAGTGCAATTTGTTCTGCTTGGATTGTATGGGAAATGCCTTCTGCTCCTACTGTTCGATTCACCACCAAGATCATCATCTCTTACAGGTTCAGATTCTCTCTCCTCTCTCTCTCTCTCTCTCTCTCTCTCTCTCTCTCTCTCTGGAGAATTTGGTCGAAGGCCTTGTTCATTGACCAAAACAAATTCAGAATCACATTGACATTTTCTCCCGCAGATTCGAAGATCTTCTTACCACAACGTGGTCCGAGTGAACGAGATCCAGAAATACATTGACATTTCCTGTGTTCAGACCTACGTTATCAACAGCGCGAAGATCTTGTTCTTGAACGAGAGACCCCAGCTTCGTCCCGGGAAAGGCGTCACGACCACCTGCGAAATCTGCAGCCGCAGCCTCCTCGACTCCTTCCGCTTCTGTTCTCTCGGTTGCAAGGTACGTAAAGAATCGAATTACGAATTCGAATTCGAATTCTCTCATACATGAAATCCATCGGTTTCTTTGAAGTTCAAGATACAAACCTTCATAGCTTTTTCAATCCAAGTTTCCTAAACAGTTGGCTTTTAGATGCGAATTTGTATGTGATGGGTAGGTAATAAGTTTTCTCGTCCATACGTTATTTCTTAATGTCATGCAATTTTTTTTTTTCGTTTTTAAAATTCTGATAATTTCGCGTTGAGATTTTAATATTCAGAAAATCCCTTTCTCGTTTTTCACCTACGACACCCAATTTAGCTTCATTCGTGAATTATTCCGAGTTTTGACCGATTTTCCCTTTTTGCTCACAGCTCGGAGGAATCAAACAAGGAGACCCAAATCTCACATTTGCTATAAAAGGAAAGGGTGGCGGAGATATGTTCTGTCTTGGGACAGATTCCGATGAATCAGAGGCTCCTGCCAAGATTCCGAAGACGGTGATTCTCGACGGAATCTCGGTTAGAGTGGATCATGATCAACGGTCCATAAGCTCCGGCGACGAGATGTTCACTAAAGTTGTATCTCCGGGGACTCCTCCGATATACAACCGCCGGAATTCTCCTCGCCGGCGGCAAAGAAAGGGTATACCTCAACGAGCTCCCTTCTAAAATGGGTTGTAAAAAAAAAAGAAATAAATATTGTATATATTTGGGGAGTTTTAAGTATAATAGGAAAAGGTGGGAATTTGGAGATAAAAGGGATAAAATAAGAATAATGTTTCATGCAAATATTAGAAACATATATAACAGTAAGTGTTGTATTCGTATAGTTTTGGGCATAAGATAAAGCAGTCTACAATATTATTTGTCCCCTTTTTAAGTTATTAATTGGAATGGCGAACAATCTTGTGGGAATTTTACTCAAATGACCCACTTGGGTCACATCTATTTCACGCGTACACCAGAAAAAACATAATACTTTTTTTTGTTTGAAAAGACGAAATTACCTTTAATGAATACACGATTTTTATCCGTTCGAAAACAACTTCGTTATTACGACTTCGTAATTAATTCTAAATATAGTTACAATTGATTCTAAAAAATGTGACAAAAAAATCATCTGTCTTATTTTAGTTGTATATCAGTTATATGTTAGTCGTAATAAGGTCACAAAAAATAAAAAAAAATGGTATTTCAGACTTTTTCAACCAAAAAGTGGGTTAAAATTCCCCAATCTTGTGCATATAAAATCAAGCTTCTTATCTTTATTTCTATTATTTCAACATCCACATTCTTTTTCCCGAGTTATAAGCATGCATGTAAAGTTTCTCTTGTAATTCATATTTCGGATCAAACTCTCTCTTATAACTCAATACTTGGGGTTTTGGCTATTTTCAATTCATATATTTTATAATCACATGTGTTAATTTTAATTTGATTTGAATTTTGGTTCCAGATTTTATTTAAAAAAAATATATTTTAAATTTATCTATTTATTTTTTATTTTTATATTGAATTTTATTTTATTTTGGAGTAGATTATTTTTTATTTTGAATATTTTAAAATGATGATTCTATTTTTCTTGATATCATTTAGCTGTTAAAGTGAGGAGAGTGAGCTGGAATGCATGCAGTGAATATCTTAAATATAGGTGATGATGATCTTATGAACTGTTGTGGGCACTGTGGAGAGAATCTAAAAATGTATTGGCCAAAGATCCCTTACCTTTTTAGGTTTGAAATTCCATTTTCTTTTGTAAATAAAATACATTATTGGGGAAAAAATTTCTTGTAAAGAAAATAAATCCAGATTCTATACATGTCACGTGTTATGTTACTGTTTTGAAATGGAAATAGCAAAAAAAAAAAAAGGAAATTAAAAAAGAGATAAATATAATTTCAATTTGTTATATCCCTTCCATTGGATTTTCCAAAGGAGTTAAAATTAGACAAATACAACTGTAACTACCAATATTTGCGAGAATTAGGACGTACAATATGGAATTGTTGGATTTTTTTTAATAATATTACATACATTTTTCCTGACCTTTAAGCGATTTTAGTTTTTTTTTATCTTGATAATGTTGATTTTTTTATAAAATCCATTTTTATTAAAAAACCATTTAATTTTGACTACTCAAATTCTTTATGATTTATTATTTAAAATTTTAAAATTATGTAAATATTTTTAGGATTTGGTTTAGATATAATTATATATTATTTGATTCAATTTGTTTTTAAATATAAAATAGAAATAGTTATATGGTTAAATCCTTATATGGACAGAGATTTTGTTGGGTGAAATTTGAGATATGAAGTCAGTGAGATGTTTGGATGATATAATAAGGATATGACATTGGATTGCTTTTTTTTAGTTGTTTATAATATAAATTATATTATATTATAATTTATCTAAATACAGATTATGAGTTTGTTTTAGATGTTTTGGTTAGGGGTAGCCATTTAGGTTTGAAATCGGTCCAAACCTATTCAAAAAATATCAGATTTTAGGCATAAATTTTTTGATCCGAAAAAATCAGATTTTTGGATCAGATTCAAATAGAATTTTAACCCAACTCAAAAGCCCGAAATATTTTAAAAAAATAATGCAAAAAAATAAGAAAATGTTTGCAATGAAGAAATGGAAGGGCGACCCAAATCCTATAAGATCAAACTTTAGATTTAGTTATATAGATTCGAAAAAAATTGGATCGATCCGATTTTTAATATGAAATCTTCGGATCGAGTCGGTCCGATTGACACCAAATTTTAGTACCATGAGTGGTTGTCTTTTATATTTTATATTATTATTATTATTATTATTATGTGAACTAGGTTTAGATCATTTGGAGGCCACAATCAAAGATACAAGTCAACCAATTCAACACACATGGAATCTTTTTGGATGTTTCCAACTTGTACCGCTAATCTTTTCTTATATTTTCATTCATGTTCATTCTTAAAAACCAATAATTATATTCGCCCATTTCGGCCTAAATACAATATACTGTTGTGACAAATATTATAATTTTAGACTAAAAAAGAATAATATTTGAATGTTTTCCTCGACAAACCATGCAAAAACTCTAATAGTTCAAACCATTCATTTCCACCATACATAATAGTTTCAAACCCAAAATTAAGGACTTTTTGTTGAGAATAAATATCTTAATAGCTTATTTAATTTGCAGATATAATTATTGGTTTTTAAGAATGATCATGTTATGTTATATTAATTTAATAAAATAAATAAAAAACATTTACAGTTGTTTTGTGATTCTGATTTTTGTTCGATTATCCAAAATGGTGGCTATTTTTTTGTTACTTCATGAACCATCGCATAGACCGAAAGGCGAAGATGATGGAGGATGATGTCTGCTTCGGTCCCACTTGTCGACGTTGATGTTGTATCTGACCGCCACGTGTAATCCGTTCAATGGTTGACACGTCGCACAGCTAAACGCCAATATTTAAACTGTGGGTCCCATCTCTATCTGAATTTCTCAATGAAGTACCAGAAACGTTTTGCTTGACCAAAAACCGGTTCGGACCGGTTCGGTACGATAAATTATACCTAAACTAACTTTATTTTCCATGGAAAAAGTAAGATTTGACCTTGATGAAATAATATTCAAATTATTTTTATTGTGTATTAATATTACTATTTTTCAATGTCTTTAAAATGCGCGTCATTATTTTTGTTTATTTTAATATCTAAATAACATTTTATAATCGTTTGAAAAAAAATTGCATTTGATTTAACTGAAATCTATTTTTTCTGTTTATTTTTGTTGTCATTTCAGATTTATTATCCTATCATATGATCACGTTATTACTGGTCCGTTAATATATATATATATATATATATATATTATTGTGTTTCATATTGACCGTTTTTTGTAAAAATATAGAATTAAAAAAATAAAACTTTAATTTTAGTAAAATACATAAAAACCTTTATAAAAAATAAAATAAAAAATTTGAAATAATGAATTATGTAGTAAAAAAAATAATAGGTAGGTTCATCATAAAAAAACACTTTTATACTTGTTTTTTTCTAATCGAATAGACCTTGAACTAATTTTAATTGACTTCCATATTATCGTATTTTTAAATTATTAACTGATACACCTATATACTGTAATGACAACATCTATAAAAAAAATATGACAGTGTTGATGTATCATTAACGAATTTATCAAATCATTCGCACATAGGATTTACATATCACGTCAATATAAACAAAAAATTAAAAAAAATAATTAAAAATAATAAAAACTAATAAAAATAATTCAATAATTAAAATATAGTACATAGATATATATACATATATACATATATACATACATAGAATATATATACATGCATACATATATGTATATATATGTATATGTTTGTATATATATACACGTATGTATATGTATATATGTGTATATATATTTATGTGTGTATATATGTATATATATGTGTATAAATATGTATTGTATTTTTTATTATTTTATTATTTTTTATTATTTTTAACTATTATTATTATTATTATCAATTTTTAATTTTTATTTACAAATGTGTTATAAAATTCTATACGTGACTTGACAAATTCGTCAATGTTACATCAATATTGTCTATCATTTTTTATAGAAGTCATCGTTGTCGTTATCACGTTATCACACTGGTATGGGTGAGCATAATATCCGAAACAACCGAACCGATCTGTTATCCGATTTGTATCTGAACCAAAAATTCGTGGATAGGATCGGATACATATATTAAAATCGAATTATTCGACATATCCAATCTAATCCGTATTTTTAATAAAATTATTAAATATAGAATAATTTAGTAAATAATTTATATTTCAGGGATTATTTTGGAAAATAATAAAAATATATTAGGGTTTTTCTTGACAGAAGGTCAAAAACTCAAATTAATCACCATCCTCTCCTACTATCTTTCCTTGCCATTCGCTATCTTACTTTTTCGTCGTTCTTCGTCTTGCTTTTGGGAGATTTACAATTCTGCTACTTCATTTTTATTTTGGGTGAGTAGATTTTGCACTAAGGATAGATATTATTTCATTTTATTTTTGGGTGAGTAGATTTTTCATTAAGGATAAATATTGTTTGTTTTGTTGTCGTTGTTTTTTTTCAGAAATTCTCTTTCTTAGATATTTCTCTGGTGTTGTAGAAAGGATGAGTAATGTCAAGTATATCTGCTAATGTTAAAAAATGTACTTAATACTAAAAAACTTTAGTCTATTGTAGTTTGATGACTGGTTGACTTGCCCAAAATTAAAAAAAAATTATAACATTCCATGACTATCCTAATAAATAATTGAAAAAATTCCAAAAAAATTTATCTGAATTTATCAATTTTTATAAAATAAGGGGTTTTAAGGGTAAAACCCCTGAAAAACCTCCAACTTGCAAAAATATATACAAATAAACCTTCAACTTGAAAAATTATCATTCAATTCCCGAACTTGTAACTTATCACTGAATAAAACCTCGATTTTGCAAATTATTGTTCTAATAAACCTTTGACCGGTTTGACCACAATTTCAAACGATCAGAAATCCACGTATTGACGGATTATTGATGTTATTTTTTAAATTAAAATTGATAACGTGTATAAGGTGACATCAGCAATCCGTTAATACGTAGATTTCCGATCGCCTGAAATTGTAGTCAAACCGGTCAAAGGTCTATTAGAGCAATAATTTGCAAGTTCGAGGTTTTATTCAGTGACAAGTTACAAGTTCGGGGATTGAATGATAGTTTTTCAAGTTGAAGGTTTATTTGTATTTATTTTTTGCAAGTTTGAGGTTTTTTAGAGGTTTTACCCTAAAATAAAACTTAAACTTTG